GTTCCTGACTCCCAGGCCCCCTCAGAAAGGCACAGAGAGCCTGGCCTTCAGAGTTTTAGCTCTGCTACAGGAGTTGTCGGGACTAGTGCCCAGAAAGCTTGACAAGGGTGGGTTATGATCCCAGAAAATCCCACCCGCCAAGCTAGTGGGGCCTGGAAGAGGGGCTGAGAGCTGAACCAGAGGGCAGGTGTGGCTGCGGGGGGGGTCTCACCAGGTCGGCCAACGGGATTTGCCTTCTGTTCCGCCCTGCGAGCTGGGGTCCCGCTCACCCTTCCAGTCACTTGTATTGTTGTCTTTTCCGTAAGGAGGACTGTGAGCTGCGCACCAGCAGCCCCCGGGCGGGCGCTTAGCGCTTTCCCATGAAGGTCTCACGTAATTCCCCCGTTGCCCTGGGAGCCCGGGCTCGTTTTTCCCACCTTGAAGCCGAGGCGACCGAGACCACCACCCAGGGACAGGCAGAACCAAGATGCCAGTCCAAGTCTAGTTTGGCCCTGCCCACTACACCAGCAGCCTCCGCCGCTGCTGCTGACTCTCGTCCTGGGCTGCAGAGGTGGTCAGGCTCCGTGGAGAAAGGAGAGGAGGACAGGATGGGGTGGGCTCCACAAGGGGGTGGCCAGCAGCCCCCGGTGTCCCAGGGGAGGGAGCACAGCATCGTGGTTACCTGCGACCTCTGTGGGTTTGAGTCCCAGCCCCACCACGTACAGGCTGTGTGACTAAACTTCTCTCTCTCCTCCTCTTCCTCTTCTCTTTCCTCCTGCTCCTCCTCCATAACTGAGAAGAGGATAATAGTGCCTTCTTCCTAGGGCTGCTCTGAGGGCTGTGTGAGCATGAAGCCTCTAGAATGGCACCTGCCCGTGGTACCAGCTCAGGAAGGACAGCTGCCATGACCGCTCGTCCCCACATGGGTGGAGTCTTGTTATAGTCACACCGGTGATATAAAACAGCTGTCGCTAGGGAGTGCGTAGAGTCTCTGAGCACATAGGCCACCACCCCACGGGCCAGGTACATGTCGGGGGCCCTCAAACACAGAGCTTCCATGAGTCACCATGCCCATCCCACACCTGGGGGCCTGGCGTGACCAGCTTCCCTGGCCCCCATTGGCTCCCTCAGCCTTTCCTCCCTGGAAACCCATGCCTGGCACAAGGATGCAGCTGAGAACCTGGCTGCACCTCCTTGCGTGTCTGTGCTTCCCACCCAGGCGAGTACAGGGCTCCACCCAAGCCCCGCAGCCTCCCGCAGCCACCCTGGAGCCCAGAGAACCGAGAGCAGGGGAGGCCGGGAAGCCACGGTCTGTTTATACAGCCCCAGGGTTCTCGTGGGTTCCCAGGCAGGGCTCCACACCTGTGCTCCCTGGACGGGATCCCTCTCCCCACACAGCCCTGGTAATAACAAGGCCAAGGGCACCAGCCTCCACTGGTCGAGCACTTAGCACCTGCCAAGCTCCTCACTGAGCTCTCCAGGCATTCTCATGCGCTCCTTACACCAGTCTCATGAGATAGGCGTCATCTGTATCCCCATGTGAGAGAGGAATGAGCAGGCCTGGGATGTTCCAGGAGCCTGCCCCCTGCTCAGCCCTGCTGTACCCTGCCAGCTCCAGACACTCGAGGCAGAGACTTGCGGCTGATCTGTTGGCCCTCCGGTCACTGGTATCCTCTAATTGTCTTGTGTTTCAGGCCTGACCTCCAAGGAAGACTGTGAGTTCCTGCGGGTGAAGACTGACCTGGTACTGCTATTGAAACCTCTACAGTGCCCTGGCTGGCGTAGCTCAGTGGATTGAGCGCGGGCCTGCAAACCAAAGGATCACAGTTCAATTCCCAGTCAGAGCCCATGCCTGGGTTGCAGGCCAGTTCCCAGCAGGGGACGCACGAGAGGCAACCGTACATTGATATTTCTCTCCCTCTCTCCTTCCCTTCCCCTCTAAAGATAAATGAATAAAATCTTTAAAAATAAATGAATATGAAACCTCTATAGTGTCAAACACAATGCTGGGCTTCTGGATGTCTCAGAATGAATGAATGGATGCTTTAGCCCATTGTGAATGGTACTAAGGAAGCAAAGAAAGGATTTTGAGAGGAAGGGAGGACAGAAAGGGAGGGAACGATGAAAGGAGAGAAGACGTGGGTAGAGAGCTGAGAGAGAAAGATGCTTCCAAAGTCAGTCTTATCATCCTTACTCTTGTAGATGAGGAAAGTGAGACTTGGTGATGAAAGGGGACTAGGCGTCTCTGTGTGGCAAACGGCACCTGCTCGGACTATCAGCCCCTTTGGCAGAGAGCGAAGCGTTCCCTGGGCCCGAAGCCATTCTGCCCAAAGGGAGGCGTCAGCATGAAAGGCGCGGCTGAAAGTTTCTAATAAGTTTTTTAGATTATTTTATAAGACATATAAGTGATGTTCTTAAAGCTATGAATTATCCTGTAAATTGTTCTGGTCTATTTTCATCCTTTCTTAGTATTCTTTTTAATAGAACAAAATAATTACCTAGAATTCCTTATCAGCAAGAACTAACATTATTGGCAAGCATTCTAATAACTTTCCCGGTAAGACTTCCCACTCTGCTCAGGTGGGGTCTGTGCTGTCCCCAGAACATCCCACTTGGCCATGCTCTCAGATGCCCTTCGCCCCCCTTCCTCCTGCTTCTGCCCGCCCACCAAGGTGCCCATCAATTCTAAATGTTCCCTAAGCCTTTCCTGAATGTCCCAGCCCTCAGTGATCTCTGCCCCTCCCGGGGACCTGGCAGCCTGCCCTCACCCCCACCTGCCAACCCTGGTGCTGTGTGGTCATGCGTGGGGTGATCTACAGCTGCTTCTCCTCGCCTGCTTCTCCCTAAGGGGCCCCTGCATTAGCCCTGGGTTTTCCACGCTTGGAGCACCCAGTGCACATCTGCTGATGGAATTCTGCCGCTCGCTCGCTGTGTTAATGTCTGGTCCACACGAGTGTTCACTTCTGGCATGCACACTGGTTAGTGATTTAAACTGGAACTCCGTTGAGGGTGTCTGTGAGGTTGAGAGTAGGAAGAGGGGTTCCTTAACCAGCACAGGTGCTCTAAACAAGTTAAGAGAAGGCTAGACAAAGCTCCATAGATACAGCGCCTGTGAGCGTGCATGAGATGAGGCTGCAAATGCACTCTGTAAACCACAGAGTGAACGCAGAAATACACTGCGTGTGTGGTGCGAGGAGGTGACGGTGTGATTATCTGTCAGGTCACAACCCCGTGTGGTCGTCTGCCTGCTCAGACACAGTACCCAGGCTGCTCGAGCTGCAGCCACAACAGAAGGCTCAGCCCATTCCCCAAACCCTGGCTGCTCCCACAACCAGCGAACCAAATGGGGGTGTTGCACTCTGTGTGCCCAGCTGCCTGCCTCTCATCTCCTGAGCCTCAGGCACGAGCCAGGGACTGCAGACCGCAGGCCCCAGAGCAGGAGCAGGGCAGCAGGAGAGTGAGACCCGATGGAAGGGCCCTCCTGCCCCCAAGCCAAGCAGGCCCTCTGAGGCCTGGGCCTTCAAGTTCAGCACCCACCTCCGAGGGTGCTGCTGGCTAACAGCGCAGGACCCACCCATGCCCTGCCGGGTAACCAAGCACAGAACTCCAGCCCACAGGGTGGGGGCTCCCCCTTTCCACGTGCCACCCAGGAGCTCTTCATTTACACATGCTCACAGCTACTTCCTGGGTGCTGTGCACATGTTGAGCCTCCTACAGCCCCATTTCCCAGGTGAGCCAGCCGACGCCAGAGAGGGCATATGGCGTGACTGGGCGCCTGCTGCCGAACACAGGCCCAGGCTCGGTGCAGGGTGCTCCTGTCTGCCCGCACGCACCTCCCCCTGAGAACCGAGGTGTGCTTGCTGCACCTCTGGCTGAGCACCAAATTCACAGTGACATCAGTCACAGCCACCTCTTTCCCACAAAGGTCTAGGGCTCGAGTAAGTTTCCAGAGGCAGAAAAAGAAGAGACAGATACAGGCACAGAGCCAGACGCGGAGAGAGGGCTGAGGATCTGCGTGCCGGGAAGAGCAGCCGAGGTGGAGGCTGCGTAGCTCAGCGACGGACTGCCGCTCTCACCTCTGTGTGGCCCGCAGGAGTCACTGCCCTCTCTGGGCCTGTGTTCTCAACTGAAGAGGCATGAGGGCCCTGGACTTCTCACGGGCCACGCTCCTCTGATCAGAGGGGTGCGGGGCCTGGCACGTTTTGGCTCAATGCCCAGGTGGGCACGGCTTCACCTGTAGAATCCGGGGCACTCTGGACTCTACCCCATTGTGAGGTTCCGTGTCTGACCCCCCTCCACTGCACTGTCCCCACCACCTCTCACTTCAGCTTTGTACCCAGTATTGGGGACATGGATCCACCCCAAGGTCACCCAACGTCCCTCCCTGGGGTGGCTGGCCCAGGCTGGCAGCCTGGGGTTTGCCTCTCTCTGGCTGGTCCCGGAACCCCCTCTCTGGGACTGTCCCAGTGTCAGGTGTGAGGGCAGGTGAGCAGGGTAAAGGGAGAAGCTAAAGGAAAAGGAGACAGATCCAGGCGGGGCTACTGAGGAGGACTGGCCTGGGAACCCATGCCTCTTCTGGGGTCACCCCCGGTGGCCGGCACCCACTGGGATTGGCTGAGTGTCTGATCTGGTGGAGCAGGGACTGAGGTGTCCCTGTTACTAAATATGTTTAATCACCCTGTCCCTTCCCATCACCCGGAGCCCGAGAAGGCAGAGCTGAAACCAAAACTCACGACTTCAGTGCGGCCCTGATCAAACGCCCCCACTCACTAACCACATGAGAATAGATGGACTCGTGTTTGCTATGCCGGAAGAACACTTTATTGGGTAAATTTCCAGGGAAAACTACTTTGCATGCATAAAAGCAGTGCAGCTCAGAAACACAATATAAGAAGTATTTTGGTAGAAAAATGTGCTCAGCGGGGAGCCTCTCTAGGGAAGCAGGGTCGTTTGGAGCTGGGAGCCACAGGGGCGTCCTCCGTCCTGTGGGCCCAGGTGCGCCCGGCGGGCTGGGCCGCCCACTACAGCTGGCAGGCCTTCATGTGCTCCCTGGAGGACATGCCTTTCCCGTCTCTGATCTCATCCTTGATGGTTCGAATCTGGGTGCTGACCTGGGGAGCCGGGGCGCAGGACACGCTGGAGACGTAAGGAACCCTAACGGCAGGCTTGCATTCTGCGGCACAGGGGTGGGCAGGAAGCCTGCGGAAATGAGATCATTTCAGGTTGTGTGTGTGGTACCAGGGCATCGCACTGACATCAAGTTAAACAGGTTGAGGGGACCAAACGTGAGGCAGGTGGGGGATGACGACAAGGGCCTCAGACCGTGCCTGGGACATCCCCGAGGGCTGCAGGGATGAGGACTAGAAACTCCCAGCTAAAACGATGTTTGGAGTGGCCTGTCCCCCTGTGAACGCTAAAGTCCAGGGCTGGGAGGAATCTCTCTTGAGAGGCTCTGGAGCAGTCCCCCTTCACCTGTAACAGCCACTTAGGGGCTGATGCCGCCAGCACAGCACTGAGTGACGAGCCCTTTCCCCAAGCCTGGCTCCCCAGGGCCACGGCCACTCACTTGCAGTCTTCTCCCTCCAGCAGGCGGCGGTAGGTGGCGATCTCCGATTCCAGCCGGGCCTTGACGTCCAGCAGCACCTGGTACTCTTGGTTCTGCCGCTCCAGATCACAGCGAATCTCGGCCAGCTGGGCCTCCACGTTGCTGATCAGGCACTGCATCTGGGCCAGCTGGGAGCCGTAGCGGGCCTCGGTCTCCGCCAGGGTGGACTCCAGGGAGTTCCGCTGCAGCGGGAAAGAGGGTGCTGCCCGTGGGAGGGCACCCCGCCCAGACACCCACAGCCCTGGGATGCGGCACATGCCCATGACCGCACCCATGGGGATCCAAGTGCTGAGGCTGGAGGGTCAGGGAGTCTGCCTGCCACAAATGGTGGCCGGCCCCTCCAGCAGGGGCCACTCACCATGCTATGCTGGGCCTGCAGCTCGATCTCCAGGGCGTTGACGTTACGTCTCAGCTCGATGATCTCTGTCTGGCAGCACTGCAGCTGCTCAGAGCTGGATACCACCTGCTGGTTCAGCTCCTGGGTCTGAGAAACAGGAGAGTACCCGGAGCAGGGTCAGACCAAGTGAAGCGACGGTCAAGGGTAACCCCACCACAGGAGCTGGCCTTGCTGGGCTGCCCCCAGCCCACCTGGGTGTTGAACCAGGCCTCCACGTCTCTGCGGTTATTCTCCACCAGGGCCTCGTACTGGCACCTCATCTCATCCAGGATCTTGTTGAGATCCACAGGGGGGGCGGCATCCACCTCCACGTTCAGCCGGTCCCCGAGCTGACACCGCAGTGTGCTGACTTCCTGAAAACAGCAGCCGAGAAGGCATAAGATGCAAAAAGGGTGCTGGATGGGGTTTCGGGTGAGCGGCACTCAAACCTCCCTCCCTCGTTTGTTAGCTGTGTGACATTAAACAGGACACTGAACCTCTCTGAGCCTCAGTCTCCTCATGGACTTGTGCTTCCCTCCTCAGAGAGTTGGGAGGATGCAAGTACCAGGCAAACGGAATTGTTAGCAGGCACTGCAGCTCAAATGGAGATTCGGTGTTATGGGCAGCAGTGTGGGATCTGTGTGACCTTGGGCAAGTGATTTAACCTCTCTGTGCCTCGGTTTTCTTGTCTGTAGAATGAAGCTTATCATTAGTACACCCCTCCTGGGATTATTGTGGGGATGAACTGAAAGGTAAAGTGCTTCACGTAGTTCCTGGCACCAGTAAGCTATGAACGAATGTCAGCTGGAGTCACTGTGGAGGTGGTTGTCACACTGTTTTGCCCAAGACTCCCTGTGGGACAGGAAACACTGGGAGGTTGCGTGGCACCAGCCTCACCTCCTCGTGGTTCTTCTTGAGGCAGAGCAGCTCCTCCTTCAGGGACTCCACCTGGGCCTCCAGGTCGGCCCTGCACAGGGTCAGCTCGTCCAGCATCCTGCGCAGGCCGTTGGTGTCGGCCTCCACCAGCTGCCGCAGGCCCAGCTCCGTCTCGTACCTGCACACACGGAGTCCTGCCGAGACTGCGGCAAAGGGGCCACGCACAGGGAGGGCCCCCTGCCCTGCCATCCAGCTGCAGGGCTGATTCGGGGTCAGCAGCACAGAGGCCTTTCCCTTGACCCAGAAGGGATCCGGAGCCAATGCTGCATGCAATGCTCCACTTGCAGCTTCCTCTGGCCTCACAGCCACCTCGCCAGCTCCCAAGGGCAGGAGACAGAAAGAAGGGAACCACTCAGAAACCTCCCCAACCAGGTCCACTTACTTGGTCCGAAAGTCATCGGTAGCCAGCTTGGCATTGTCAATTTGCAGGACCAGCCTGGCATTCTCAGCCTTGGTCAGCAGGATCTGGGAAGCAAGGGGTACCCTGTGAGCTGGAGAAGACCCAGCAGCATAGGGGTGGCTGGGATGGGGTAGCTCAGCTCACAGAGGCCACACCTCCGAGTGCCACCAGCACCTTCAGCATCTCTGGCCCTGAGCCCTGAGCCCTGAGCCCTGAGCCCAGGTATGGAGGGAGTGTCAGTCATAGGAGGGGTGTCAGTGGCCATGGGTCCTGACATCTGTAGCTCTCAGAGTGGCCTGGTAGGAAGCACTAGGGTGACCAGAGAGAACTGGACCAAGCTGGAGTCGGGCTCTGCAACCGGCACCAGCAGGCTGTGTGATCTTGGGCAAGTTGCTGAACCTCCCTAAAATTCAACTTCCTCATCTGTTAAATGGGTCCAGGAATGCCCATCTCTCTGAGATGAGGAGTAAATAAGCCAAAGAGAGGAGCGTGTCCAATAGAGGCTCAATGCATGTTATTGACCTTCGTGTAGCTGAGACAGAGAGAGGAGGAGAGAAAGGGCTGGCCACAGGTTACCAGCCCAGAGAGGTCTGGTGCCCCCAGGACATCAAGACCCCAAAGAGGAAGATATGAGAATTCCCTCAGAGCTATAGTTTCATCTGTAGTCCTTTGAAGTGGGACAGACCCCTTCAGGGGCTGGGCTGCCTGGCTAGACGGGGGCCAGGCCCCCGTTACCTTCTGCTGCAGCTCCTCGATGGTCTTGAAGTAGGACTGGTAGTCTGGGCAGATGTACGGGATCTGGGTCTCGTACCACTCCCGGATGCGGCACTCCAGCTCCGCATTCTCCCGCTCCAGCTGCCGCACCTTCTCCAGGTAGTTGGCCAGACGATCGTTCAGGAACTGCATGGTCTCCTTCTCGCTGCCATTGAAGGAGCCCTCGCAGAACCAGGACCCAGTCCCAGCAAAGCCAGAGGGGGCACACCCAGAGGACAGGTAGGAGCAGCTCCCAGGGCTGGAGAAGCCCATCCTGCCAGTAGAGGCAGATCCCGCAGCACCAGCAAGACTGGGAGCCCGGAAGGAGCCCATGGAGCAGGCAGCGGACACCCGAGAAGTGCCAGCTGCCGAGCCGCAGAGGCCCTTGACAGACCCTGAAGAGAAGATGGGGGAGCAGAGCTGGGTAGCCATGATGCCAGCAAGGAAATGTCACAGCTGAGCCAAGAGCTGGGGCACTGTGTTCTGCAGGCCTTTCTGGGGTGCTTATATACCCACTTCGTGGGGTGTTGTCCTGTTACTCTTGGGAAATCTATTCCTAGCCCGGAAAGCTAATCTCATAAGAACACAAATTCTGCTACCCGTCCAGGATTCCCCGCCTTGTAAAGAAAAAGAAAAAAAAAATGTCCAATTTGGTTTGCTAAGTCAGGACTCTCCACTGTTGCCTCTCTGTAACAGAATATGAATTTTATTACCTCTTCAAAGACTTTGCACCAGATCCTATAAATTGGGAGTGGCCTCACAAATGACACTGGGTTCCTGCCCTGTTGGCGTGTCTTCCCTTAAGGAGCCCGATCTGTCCATTTGTCACCGTCATCCATGACCCCACCCTCACAGCTGCTGCCCTGGGTCCGGGCCACAGAGATAGTGAAAAAGGAGCAGAGAAAACTAACATCCCTGGCGCATCTATGTAATTACTTCAATTACACTTCACAACAGTCTCAGGATGTGGCCAACAGTGTCTCCATCTTCCCAGTGTGGAGATGACGCTCAGAATGGTTAGAAAATAAATACATCAAGTCTTGCTTCAGGTAAACAGGCAGTGAGCAAAGAGCCTGGCGCTGCAACCGGGGCTCGCAGGCCCCAAATCCCGCATTCTCGTCCCCCACACAACCAAGGTCAAGTGCCACCACTCAGAATTTAGGGATGGGAGACCAAAGCTCAAAGCCTGGCTCTGCGGATGAGCTGTGACCACGTCCCCGCCTGTCTGGCCTCCTCTGTGTCTTCATCGTGACCGTAGAGATCGACAACCTGCCCCGCCTACTACACACTGATCGAAAGTCAGGAGTAAAAGTGTTTCGAAAACCACTGGGTGCTATAGAGAAGTTGGTTAGTCTAAGCGAACAGTCTCCATTGGTCATTTATGGCTGTGGCCAGCAAAGCACCATGGGAGTGAGCCTGAAAGTGGGGCTGCTTTGGAGAGCAGGCCTCTCTGTGGCCCCCAGTTCTCTAAACCTAGGAGGGTAGAATCAGGACCCCAAATGGCCTGCTCTGCCCACCCCCCAGTCCCTGAACTGCATACAGAGACGCTCAGTGAAGCCTCTCTGGATAGGAAAGGAATAAGCAGAACAAACAAAGCACTGCCAGACAGGGAAGCAAGCTAGAAGGAGAAGCCCGAGGATTAAGGAGCAGAGGGAAGTGCGGTCCTCTGCCTCCCCACGCGGCTCCCCGAAGGCGCGGGCCGCCGTCCCTCCTCTCCCACACGGACTTGCTTCGCAAGGCCGGAATTTATGGAAGCATTTATGTGCGTCTGGAGTGGTAATTTACCAACCTCTTAAAATGCTTTATAAGCTTCTCTCTGAAATTACTCAGGAGGCTTGGCTGTGGTGCACAGCACCTCCCCCAGTGCAGTGGGCACCTGGACAGGATGCCCGAGAGCTGCCTGGTGAGCTCCTCCTGGGAGCCAGAGCCGGGCAGAGGGTCCTCAGAGCCCCGGCTGCCCTGGCCTCGGCGCCTCTGAGCGGCCCCTCTGCCCTGCACGGCTGGTGGGGACTTGGGCGGGGCCATCCCAGGGTGTCTCAGCCTTGGCCCTGTTGACAAACAGACCATGTGTTTTTCTCTTGTGGGGGCTTCTTGTGCATCATAAAATGTTGGCAGCACCCCTGACTCTACAACCAGGTGTCAGTAACAATTCCCTCCCCTGGTGGTGACAACCAATAATATCATTAGGCATTGCCAAATATCCCCTGGGGGCAAACGACCTTCAGTGGAGACCCGTTGGACTATGAGGACAGGGACCGGAGCTCTCACCAGGCCTCCTCTAAGTGCCCCCTTTGTTTTCTAGGACAACCAGTGTAGAGTCTCTCGGTTACTGTGGGGCCTTCTCAGTGTTCAGTGTGCCTCAGTTTACCTCATTTGTGACACAGCGCACTCGCCCCGCAGGCAGCCTCTACCGTGAGCCCGGCACAGCTCTTCTCTGTTCGGAGTCTCTGGCTGAAATTGGTGTTCTCGTTTCTTTTAGCCCTTCCACTGTGAAACCTGTATCTGAAGCTGACTCTAGGTTTCTCTCAGGGCAACTCACTAAGCAGACCCTAAGCTGCTCTGGCTGTCCCCCCTCTCAGCCGCTGCTCAGTAGGGCCACCGTGGGCCAGCGTCCATGCAGGCGTTCCCTGGGGCTGAGGAGAGGCACGCGGTCCTCCTGGGTCAGGTGACAAGCTAGCCAGAGAGGTCTTTCAGTCGCTCTCAGTCCACTGCCTTTCTCAATGTTGTAGACTCCGAGGCCACCTGTTGGAGGCGAGTGTGGCAGGGGCCTCACGGGAAGAACTGCTCTGTTCTCTTCTACGCAGAAGCGTGGACCATTGTGGGATGAGGGAGGCCTGAGTGTAGCAGCTGCTCTACCTGTACCACAGAGAGAGCCGGGACTCATCTCCCTGGACAGCAGCAGGTGACAGCCCATCCCACCCGTCATGGTGATCCAGCCCCAGAGAAAAGCCACCTGTTCTGTGTTTAGCAAATCAGGCTGCCCGTTCAACAGGTTTTATGTCAACATAGGGTCCTGTTCTGAGATTATTTCTTCCAACATTAATCAAAAGTGCACTGGGCTAAGGGTCAGGGAACCGGGACTCCAGGCCAAGCTCTGCCCAAAGTCCCCGTGTGACCCACCTCCACTCTGAGCCCCAGGTTCCCGTCTGAACATGAAGGGCCTGGACATGGCGAGCTTGCGGCCATCGCATCTCGGACACTACAGGATCTGGGGCCCAGCATTTCCTGTGGAGAGAGCCAGAAGTCACCTGGATGTGTCTGCCTCGTTCACCATCTCCCACAGTCACCATCCCTTCTCTGTCACTGACCCACAGAAGAAAGAGGAAATACGTCCCCTTCCAGGACACAGTGGGGTTTTCTTTCCTGCGCAAACTGGCCCAGGCTTCCTCCTGGCTGTCCTCCGCAGGAGGGGCAGCGTTGACCACCCCCCAAGGCTGCTCCCAGAAGACCCCATTCTGAGGCACGGTGTCCTCAGGCCCTGGAGCAGGCATCACCCCACGCCCAGGTTAAAAGAACATCTCTGGCTGCCTGAGCCAGGACTTGGCTTTGCAGAAGAAGGGGCTCAGAACATGTCGAGCCGGGCGGCAGGGGCCCTGGGCCTGGACTCGGCAAGACCTAGGTTCAAGCTACTGCATGATACGAGCCTCTGTTTTCCCAAGAGGGGAATGGAGATCATAACATCTCATTCCCAGGAGTGTGGGAGCCATATTGAAATGTGCTTGATGAACAGGAACTCATGTCACAGGTTTCAGAGATCAACACTGTTCTTGGAGCCCACGCAGCCTGAGACCCAAACACTGTTTCCAGCACACAAACCACTCACCCCGGTTTCGTGTGGTGCTGACTCAGAGGCCTGGCCCAGCTGCACCAGGAAAGACAGCTGCTGAGAAAAGTGGCGGCCGGGGCTATGTCCAGGGCTGAAGGGACCATCAGCCGGGACTCTGTCTGGCCTCTGGCCTTGACAAGCTTCCAAACGCCTCTCCCACCCCATTCAAGTACAGGTGCTGGTTTCAGGGCCACGGGGCTGACAGGTGCTCTCTGCCCACTCACCCCCGGTTTCAGGAGGTGCTGCCACAGGAGCAGAAAGCACCCTGGCTCTTCCCAAGCCCACCGTGGAAGGCCACCGAGTTCAAAGTCAACCACTGAGTTTGTAGCTCCTTCTTTGGTAAAAAAGAAGTCTCCATCCTTAAATAAGCTTCCATCTGAAAGCCAAGGTTCTCCACGAGCAAAAAGAGATGAAAAATCAAACCTGAGTCTCCTGCCCGGCTCTGAACAGGCCCTCCAATGCGGAGGGCACCAGGCACAGCCTGTCACCGCAAGCGCAAGGAGGAAATGGGTTCTCTGAGCAGTGTGCCCCTTAACCTGCTTCTCTGGGCGGTGGTCAGAGAGTGCCGGCCACCACCACACCATACCGCCCCAAATGCATTGGAGGAAGCAGACAGTGGACCACGGAGCAGCCGAGTCACACTGGGCACCAAGGGGACTAAGATCATTCAGGAAGTCCATGGCTGCCTCTCTTAGTGTCCTGCTGGCGTAGACTTCCTCTTCCCAGTCGTGTCCTGCTGCCTGTCCCACCTTTGATGTCCCCACAGAATTCCCCACCCGTCACAGGCATCTAAACAATGCTGATCCCATGTCTTAACGCCGTCAGGTGCCACCCAGCTAGTCACCCAGGAAAGGGGAGACCCACACTGATCTCACTGCCCCACACCCACCCTACTGCTTTTTCCTTGTAACAATTAGTTCCAGTGACAAAGCGCCTGAGATTCCCGGCCCCGCCCAGAAAGGCAGTTTCTCTCTATTCTGTGTCAAATAACCACATCAACAGCTTGTGGCTGAACAACTGCCCGCTGATGTGGGGTGCCAGTGCAGACACACAGTAGCAGGTACCCCACGTGGAAGAAAACATCGTGGGGGTGAAAAACTTCAATTAAGACATTTTAAGCTACCAATTTCATTCGTTGGAAAGGTAGAGGAAGGCCTGGCTTACTCGGCTTCAGTGGGGGGAGACCCAGAAGTGCTCGTGGACACACTAAGGCTAAGGGGGCCAGATTTAGTCACCCCAAAATCCAGGCAGTGTTTGGGACACACTACTATAAAAAAATGATTCATTGTCTGTTTGCGATTCCGATTTAACTGGGCGTCTTGCATTTTACCTGGCAGTCCTCAGTGAGAACCTTGGCAAACGAGACACAGCTGTTCCTTCCTTCCTTGCCCCGTGGCCTGTCCCCAAGACTGACTGGTCTTGGGGACAGGTATATCTGGCTTCCCTTGGAAAATCTCCCCTTTCTGCCCTTTATTCTCTGTTCTGAGTGGCTGCCATTTTTGCCCTCACAGGTCCAGCGAGTGGGACACAGACAGTGCTGAGTTGTCCTGACTCTTGTCCTGGCCACCTCTGTGACATTCCACCTTGATGGCAACTGCCTCCGGGA